GGGGGGCCGCGCCCCCCCCCCCCCCTTCGCGGAACGCCCCTTTCGCGACTCCACCCCCCTCCCGCCCCCAACCGCGGAACCCCCGGTGCCGCTGTTTGGGCCGGCCGGCTTGTTGGACGGAACGGAGGAGAGCTTCGCACCACCGCTGCCTACGGAAGTGCTACCTCCTGAGGGCGAGGAGAGCTTTTGTGTTCTTGTGGTCGGTGGGGATGAGCGAGCAGCGGGCCCCGATGCTGCAGCAGCTAGTCCCTGTGTAGCAGCTATCGGTGTCGGGATTGAGACCATAAAGACGATGACGAGCGAAGAATGGGAAGAGGGTGGGCAAGCAAGCGGATCATCTGGCGTCAAGATCGACAAGGAAACAATGAAGATCGACCTAGAAATAGTTTCATGAGAATGGTGAGAACACGTCGTACCACCTATGGTATTCTATCTTCCATGTGAGACCACCACAACAAGGAATTACATGACGGACTGGGCACATGGTGGCGTCTTGACGTCTACTGCTGGATATGGAAGGATTGGGGTTCCTTTGTACACTTACTGCTGGATGTGGAAGCAGGTTCCATTGTACAAGTACTGCTGGATGTGGAAGAGAGTGGTTCCATTGTACACTTGCCGCCGGAGGTAGAAGAATGTGGCTCCTTCGTAGCATACATCTACTGCTGGGTGTGGATGACGCGCTTCCTTTGTACGTCTGTCTACTGCTCGATTCGCTCACCAGTCGAGGAGGAGGAATCCCTCGTAGTGTACACCCTGGTGACCACCGCTGTTGTGCCTCGCCTTCCCCTGCCCTTGCCCTTCCCCTTCGTAGCGCTGGCGGTAACGCGAGCGTCAGCTTCGCCTTGAGCTTCTCCCGCGGCGTCTTCTTCATCACGCATCACGCCCTCCATACCCTCCTCTTCTCCCTCCTCCTCCTTCTTCTTCTTGTTGGCGCCACCACTATCATCACCAACGTCCATGTCGGCGCTGTTGTCCGGGGGAGGGGGGGGGGGCATGGCCTTTGCGACCGCCTCTTCCATCTCCTGCTCCAGCGAGAGGATCACAGGACAAGTTTAGGGTTGGGGATTTGACATGCATGTGTGAAGCCTAACTTGCTGCCAATATCGCAACAGGACATGTGTGTGAAGC